ATGCAGTGTTGGGGACTAGACCTAGCCTATATTTGACAGGGTGTCAGGGTGTCCTTAGCAGACATTCTCGGGGCATTTTCTCTCAGCGGCAAAAGCTGAAGCTGTGCAAGTAGAATCTGGAACTATTCCACACACAGGGCTCTTCAGTCCCCGATGTAGCATGCTGAGACACGGGCTCCACAGAAGGACTTCCCTAGAAGGAAAGATCCCCTTTCCGGCATAAACCTTTGGCTCTCCCTCTTGCTCAGCCTATTTCAAGGGTAATTCTTGGTCTCAAAATCCTGAGGGCCATCCACTCTTTGATCTCAGCCCGGAACGGATACTAAGCCGCACACAGTTATAAAACCATAAAGCAATCAGCAATAATTCTGCTTACTATCAGACAGTAATCACCAAGGGAGGGTAAAAATGTGCCCGAGTCCCCATTTACATAAGGAGAGGGCTCCAAATCCTGCAGTTTCGTGAAAGCTCAAACAACATGGTTTCTCGGAAAGACAACTCGAGGTGACTTCGTCCAGCTCGTCAGGATGTGGCCTCAAGTGGCTGAGATCCAATCTCCTTTTAATGGACACTATAGCCGCCTGATTCTCACCGAGCAAAAGCTTTCCGGGGAGGTGGAGGAGTGCGGAATCGTAATTGGGTAGGTAGAAATGTATAAGCCTAAGAGACCAGGGAGGCGTGAAGACTGCCATGAATGGGACTTGGGAGTTCTGGTTTTAGACCTCCAGCCAAGACTAGCCAAGGCCCATGCCTAGAGAAGCCAACATATCTGCATTCTTGGAACCAGTTTTGGAGGTTTACCAGTTGGACAGCCAGGGCGGACAATCTTGCTTCATTTCTTGGCTCCGTACAGCATTTCAGGGTCAACAGGAGCAATATCAGAAGGACCCTCTCCCATGTTGGTTCTAGGTCCTTCAGGGTACTTTTGCTGGTGCTTCGGTTAACCTGATACACCAAGGAGGATGCTTCACTTTGCATTCCCCAAAAGTAACTATTTGAGTTGAGCCTGAAGAGAAAAAGAGATGTTGGGGAAGTTGACGAGGACTTACGGATCATGGTTCTGTTTGACTTCCTGCACGGTCAGTTCTTCAGCCCAGAAAGCAAATAAAGTCTGTTTGTAATATTGTTCTTACATAAGCTCTCCAGACTGCTCATCTTTGAGAAGAGGGGCCTATGATAAGTTAAGTGACTTCTGTTTACTATAACTCAATAATATAACATTTAACTTTGAGTCAAGATGGTGAGTGTCAGACCGAACACTTCAACTTTCACAGAGGGGTGGGTGTTGGCCTGCAATAGGTACCTTCAGAGATGTGTTCTGAGTTTGAAAGGGTTTCTGTAACTCCCAGCACGTTCTGGAATTCCTCTGCAAGACTGCGTTTCAAGGCCAAATTAAAAAAACACATACAAATACAAATCTGGTCTTCAACTCAAATAGTGTTCCATGGTTCATCTGCTCTCATACTGCTTTGGTTTTTTGTTCATTTGTCAGTGTTAAGAATCAAACTCTGGCTGAGAGGTAGTGGTGCATGTTTTTAATCCCAGCACTCAGGAGGGAGAGGCAGGCAGACCTGTGAGTTCAAAGCCAGCCTGGTCTACAGAGCAAGTTCCAGGTCAGGGCTATCCACAGAAACCTGTCTTGAAAAACCAAAAAGAAAAAAGGAACCAAACTCAGGGCCTCTTGCCTGGTAGAAAATTCTTGCCTTGTCACTGAGCGATATTCCAACTTCTGGTCTCTATTACTCCCAGATTTGACCACAAATGGCATGTATTTGTTTATAAACGCCAAACCTACCTTAAAAAGATTCAAATCTGGAACCGTTGAGATGGGTCAGTGCATAAAAGCACTTGTCAACAAGCTTGACAACCTGAGTTTAATGCCAGGGAACCTGGCACCGTGAATGTGGAAGAAAACCTAATCCTGCATGTTGTCTTTGACTTCCACATGCACAACATGGCATGCACATGCAGCCATGCACAGTCCCCATCCCCACTGATACATAAATAAAAAGGAAAGGTTCAAATCTGCCACAGCCAAAACATATGGGGGGACACGTCTTGTAGGCTTTGAAGTGAATTTTCTAGAGTAGTTGCTAAAATGTAAATGGTAAAAAAGATGTGTGGGCAGAAAACTTTCCAAGGGAGTGACTTTCAAGACTTTCAAGTGTCTCATCCTTATTCACCAAATCACTAAGTGTCAAACCTGAAGAGGCTGTTGAGACAGGATAGGGCCTGGAGCAACAGCACTGGAAGAGTGAGGGACTTTTCACACTATATACAGGCACCTCATGCTCCTGATGCTAGGCTCTGCTCAGCATCGCCCCTCACATGCCTGGTGCCCATATCAGCAGCAGCAGCATCTAACATACCTGCAAACCATCTTCCTGAGACACCTTGTTAAGAGTACCAGTCATACTATGAGACACTCACATCTCAGGAAATGAAGTTTTAATTTTGTATTTCTTTTTTTTTTAAATATAATTTCATAAAGGCCTGGGTTGGACTCAAACTCCCTATATAGCCAAGGATGACCTTGAACTCCTGATTTCCCTGTCTCTGCCTTCTAAGTGGGATTACAGGTGTATGCTACCATGCCTTGTTTTGGGGGATGCTGGGAACTGAACCCAGAGCCTCACACATGCTAAGCAAGCTCTCTACCAACTCAGCTACATCCCCAGGGCCATAATGTAGTTCTAACTGACCACAGCAAGAGCCGGAAAAAGCTGGACAACTTGGTTGCCAATGCAGGACATAGTGCCTCCCATCACCTGGGGGGAAACGTGCTCGATAATGCCGGGTGTGCTAGAGAATGCAAATCATCTCAGCACTCAAGAGGCTGAGACCCAGAGGAAGGATGGAAAGTTCAAGATTAGCCTCTACATTGTAATGAGTCTTTCAGTGTCCCACCAGCCAGCCCCCAAATAACTACACGGAGACTTCTTATTAATTATAAAAGCTCAGCCTTAGCTTCGGCTTGTCCCACTAGCTCCTATAACTTAAATTAACCTGTTTTTATTCATCTATGCTTTGCCATATGGCTTTTTACCTTTCTTTCATTCTGTATGTCTGACTCCTTCCATGTCTTGTTGGTGTCTCCTCTGTGCCTTGCTTATCTCCTCCTACTTCCTCTCTCTGCCCGGAAGTCCCACCTATACCTCCTGCCTAGCTATTGGCCACTTAGCTTTTTATTAAACCAATCACAGGAACTTATCTTCACACCAAATACAAAGATCTCACAACAGTACATATTGTCTCAGAATACCACAGGCTGTAGATGTGGCTTAACTGGCCTAGCGTACGTAAGGCTCTGTGCGTATCCCCAATAAAAATCCAGCAGGTTCAAAAATGCTGACAAAATGAATTGGATTCAAGATATGGTACCAAGAACACTTTTTTGATTTTGGGGGGGACAGGCTGTCCTCAAATTAATGACCCTCTGCCTCAGCCTTTCAAGTGTGGAGAGCATAGATGAGTGCCACTGTTATTTGACACTGTTTTTGGAGAGACATGAAGAAATATCTACTCACCCCACATAAGGGACTGATGACAGACAGAAGTAATAATCCCACTTAAGTGTTCCTTGGTGAACCAATCAGTTGATTGGGTTACTTATAGGAATATGAGTAAGCATGGATAACTCAAAGGCAGCTGCACCCCCCAAAAAAGTCCACCCCAGCAGGGGTGATGACTCACAAAAGCTGGAAACCTGGACCTTCCTATATGACTTGCAGACCACTCAACAGGATGACAGGTGGGAGAGTCTTCTCAGCATTCCTTACTAATATAACATCAGAGTGGGAGGAGCCTTAAGAATCTGGTAAGTGGCAGGGACTTCCTGAGACTTGTGAATTGTTTAGTTCTCAAGTCTTAAGAAGCCTCCCTTTATAAGTTCTAAGGCCTAAAAGCTTCTCTACAGGATGGAATGTTTCAGCTCTGAAGAATCTGATACATAATAGCCTCCACTCCTTGCTCACTAAGAAATTTATTATTAATCCCAGCACTCAGGAGGCAGAGACAGGTAGATAGATCTCTGTGAGTTTGAGGCCAGCCTGATCTACACAGGGAGCTCCAGGTCAGCAAGGGTTATATAGAGAGAACCTGTCTGAAAAAAGAAAAGAGACTCTATGTAATTACAACCAGCTTAATGTAACTTCAAGAGATTATCACATCCTAGATAGAAATATATGAATTTTAGATTAGATAAAATGATTTTATGTTCACGTAAAAGGAAAAGGAAGAGTGACACCAGGATTGCTTCAACGGGGAAGGCAGCTTATTCTAAACTCTGCTGAAAACCAAGCCACGAGCCAGGCAGTGGTGGCACACGCCTTTGATCCCAGCACTCGGGAGGCAGACAGGTGGATCTCTGAGTTCAAGGCCAGCCTGGTCTACAGAGCAAGATCCAGGTCAGCCATAGCTACACAGGGAAACCCTGTCTCGAGAAAAGAAAAAAGAAAAGAAAAAGCAATTTATGTATTATTAAATGGGGGGGCACAAATGCTAATGCATGCTGTGAGGTCCGAGGACAAAGCTCAGGAGTTGGCTTCTGCCTCCTGCCTTGTTTCTGCCACTTTGCAAGTGCACTCCAGGGCAGCTTCTGGCCAGTCTGTCTGTATCTACCTTGTCTAGCCATAGGCATGCTGAGATCACAGATGTGCACTGCTCCATAGAGCCAACTCAGATCGACCTCAAACTCAGGGCAATCCTCCTGCCTCAACCTCAGGAGCACTGAGTTTACAGGCAGGAGACACCGCACTTGGTTCCCCAGAGCTGCCTTCTAACTGAAAGTAAGAACTGTCCCGTCTGTGAGTAGTTTCACACCGCAGGCTGCCGGGAGAGTGATAAATGCTGTGCCAGCAAGCCACACACACAGGGGTTTCCCTAAATTCTTGCTTTATCTTTGAACTTCAACTGATACTGGTATTGATTGGCCTGAAACTGGGCCTGCTATCAGAGCGCCCTGCTCTGGGGATAATCATTAAAACTCAGGTCCGGGCCAAGGTAGAGAGAAGAGCCTGGGAAAGCAGACACAGGAGGAAATAGGGAGCAGACTTTAGAAAGAGCGTTCGATCGGTCGAAAGCAGAGTTTCCCTTCATGCTGGGAGAGACAGAAGGACCTTCTACAAGATGGGGTACATGGGGGCTTCTGCAGAAGAAAAGCAAGGCATTCTGGTCCCCCTGACAGTGGGGGGGGGACCCAGGCTTCTGTGACATTGATTAGGAGAGGGGGAACAACATAGTACCAAAGTCCACATGTGCATTTTTCTAACTTATTTATTTTATTTTTTTATTTTTAATTTTTGGAGACAGGGTTTCTCTGTGTAGCTTTGCGCCTTTCCTGGAACTCATTCTGTAGCCCAGGCTGGCCTCAAACTCACAGAGATCCACCTGCCTCTGCCTCCCAAGTGCTGGGATTAAAGGCGTGTGCCACCACCGCCCAGGTAAAAATTTTTTAATTACATTATTTTATTTATTTGGGAGAGGGGCATCCACACACCACTGTACATGTGTGGAGGTCAGAGGCAACTTTTGGGTGTCAATTCTCTCTACCATGTGGGTTCTGGGGTCAGACTAAAGTTTGATGGCAAACACCTTTACTGCAGAGAAATATCAGCAGTCGTGTGAGTGTGCGTGCGTGCGTGCGTGCGTGCGTGCGTGCGTGCGTGCGTGTGTGTGTGTGTGTGTGTGTGTGTAACGTGCGTGCGTGCGTGCGTGCGTGCGTGCGTGTGTGTGTGTGTGTGTGTGTGTGTGTGTGTGTGTGTAACACTTTCTGCAGGTGGTTCTCTCCTTCCACTGTGGATTCCAGGGATGGGACTGAGGCCACCCAGCCTGTGTAGCCCTTTGACCTAGTAAGCCATCTCACCAACCCGAGGTCCCCACGTTTTTTACTAGAACATTCCTCTCGGGCTTTTCCCTGATCTCGAGTGAGATTTCTCTGCTTCCCTTTAAATTCAGAACTCAAACGCTCTCCACGTCAGGACTCTTTCTGATTAGCCAGGCGAGGTCTGACCTCTTGCCCATTTCCCAACTCCCTGGAAGTCTTTGCCTTTCCATCAGGGATTCTGACCGCAGCAGATCAAGATAAGGAAGAGCTCTATGTCTGGGTAAACCTTCTGGAATTTTCTGATAAGCCTAGGGTGTGCCAGTGAGGAAACTGGGATTCAAAGGGATCTGTTGACCCGCTTGGCGGCTCAGAGCATGGAAGACCGCATTTCTGTTACTGGCCTGGGAGCACAGGTTCCTTCCTTTATGACAGGAGTACTTGGTGCTTCCTATGTGCATTGCAGTTTACACACACACATGCACCTCATTCTTCTTTTGTCAGGGCCTCACGTGACCTCAGATAGCCCAGGATAGCCTGGAGCTCTCTGAGCCTCTTGGAGGACCAGAGCGCACCGTTGCTTCCTGCCAACGCCCCTCTAACTCCTGTCCCTCCTGGGCAGAGGCACCTTTCAAGTGCTGGGATTGCAGGTGGACCCCATGATGCCTTGGAATGTGCCGTGTCAGGAATCAAACCCAGGGTTTCCTGCCTTCTGGGTAAGCACTCCATCACTGAGTTACATCCCAACCCTTCCTGTGTGTCTCTCCTCTCCTCTTTCCTTTCTGCCGTAGGGCCTTACTATGAAGCCCTGACTGGCCTGTAACTTGAGGCACTCCCCCTGCCTCAGTCTCCCCAGTGCTGAGATTACAGATGTGAGCTATCGCATCCAGCTGTTCACTTTCCGTTGACTGTGCCACCACACTTTGTGATGCAGCGCAATAACAACAGAGCTCATGTGACCGAGCTCACGAGATGAGTAGGTTTCAGTTTTATTTTTTAATCATTTCTTTTCATTTTTGAGGTCATAGCAAAATTAAATCATTTCCCCCTTCCTATTCCTCTCTCCAAACCCTCCCATGTACCCCTCCGTGATCTCATTCAAATTCACGGCCTCCGTTTCATTAACCGTTGTTAAATACATATTTGTTTATGTATATGTAAATATTCCTAAATGCATAAGTACAAACCACTCAATCTGCATATTGTCATTTGTTTGTTTTCAGGGCTGACCACTCATGTGGTCTTCCCTGGAAAAATCTAGGGATGTCAGAAGCTACACCTGTATAGTCTCACCAACGTGACTGACTAAACATGAGCTGAACAAGAAAAGACAACAGCAACACACATGTTAACATGGATGTGGGGGAAATCTTGAGGCCTCAAGCCTACACAAAGAACCACAAGCAGCTAAGGATGCTGAGAGCGGGAGAAATAGTCTTCCCCAGGTTTTTGTTGTTGTTTTTATGTATATGTATGTGTATGTGAGTGAATGCCACGTGTGTGCTGGTCTCTGTGGAGCCCAGAAGAGGGTGCTGGAATTGCGGTTACATATACTTGTGAGCCACCTGGAGTGGGGGCTGGGAACCCGAGTCAGGTTCTCTGGAAGAAAGGCGAGTGCTGTTAACCGCTGAGCCATCTCTCCAGTTCCTATCGTGATAAAGTCACCGTAGCACGCGCCTGTCCTTATCCCTGTGTTCCGGAGGCTGGGGGCTTTAAATGACCTTTCCGACAGCTATCAACAGCAGCCAGTGCCCCGTCCCACTTAGCCACCATGCTGCCATCCTTCCTTTCCTGAGGGTGAGAAGTCGCTTCACAGCCAGGCATGGCAGCTTGCACCTGTAACCCTAGCGCCCGGAAGGCTGAGGCAGGAGTTCCAGGCCAAATCAGAGCAATAGAGTGAGTTACAAGCCCACCCAGACCACAGGATGAGACCCTGTCTCAACTTTGCGCTACGCCCCGAAAGCAGACTCATCTTAGCATCCTCGCAGCCCCCCAGTGCTGTGGCTCAGGAGCGTAGGCATGGTAGTCAGTTAATAACTGCTGCACTGGCTGGTTACCATAATGGTCATGAGGAGGAAGAGAATGCCCAGCTAACTGGGTGATTAACTGGAATGTCTGGTAGACCTTCAGAAATTAGACACATATGTGCCAGGGCTACCAAAATGTGGTGATGGGCACAATAATCCCAGCACCCTGGAGGTGCAGGCAGGAGCATCCTAAATCCCAGGCCAGCTGTGGGGAAATAGCATGACCTGCCTCCAAATAACTAAACCCAAAACCAAAGCAAAGGAAATACTCTTTGAGAAAAATAGAGATATTTGAATAAGGTGCTTGTAGCCCACCCAGGCTGGCCTTCTCCTGACAGAGATTATGGGCATGAGCCACCACACCCTAGCGTCTACTCTCTCTTTAAGAATTCCTTTTGGAGCCCACTACCTATGATGGGACACCTCATGCAGCCTTGAGGCTGGGGGAAGGGCTTGGACTTGCCTCTCCTGGATATGCCTCCCCATGGGATGCCTTGCCTTCTTGTGGGGAGGAGCGGGGGATAGGTTGGGGGGGCTGGGGGGCGGTAGGAGGGAAGAGGGGGATTTTTGATTGGTGTGTAAAATGAATGAAAATAATTTTCTTAATAAATAAATAAATAAATCCTAGCTGAGTGGTGGTGGTGCATGCCTTTAATCCCAGCACTCAAGAAGTAGGCAGATCTCTGTGAGTTCAAGGCCAGCCTGGTCTACAGAGTGAGTTCCAAGACAGACACCAAAGCTACACAGAGAAACCCTGTCTCAAACAAACAAACAAACAAACAAACAAACAAACAAAGAGGAACAGCCAAGGGTACCCTGAGAAACCCTGTCTAAAAAGACAAACAAAGAATTCCTTCAACACATACTTAAAAGAGATGAGTCCATGCCAGCCCTGCAGGCAAAGGGCAAGCATAGTCCTCTCCTTCCTCAGGGAACTTCCGCTCTGGTGAAGGGTGCAGAGGAGAACCGGGAAAGTGGACCGTGTGAGGCGGGGCTAAATGCTGTGAAGGAGTGGGAGGCTGTTCAGTGTGTTCCAAACCGTGTGGACATAGAAGGCCTCTCTGATAACAGATCTTTTGCTTTTCATTTTCTTTTTTTTCTTTCTTTCTGGTTTTTGTTTGTTTGTTTTGTTTTCCTGCATGTATGTCTCTGTGAGGATGTCAGATCTCCTGGAACTGGAGCTAGAGACAGGTGTGAGCTGCCACGTGGGTCCTGGGAATTGAACCCGGGTCCTCTGGAAGAACAACCATATTGACCCCACCTCACCATATAGCCCAGCATGGGCTTGGAATTCTGAGTCTCCTGCCTCTGGCTCCCAAGTGCTGGGCCTGTAGGTATGTGTCACCATGCCTGGCAGATGAATAGATCTGGAGCAGATCTGAATGACAAGAGACAGCTGGCCGTGCTTGTGACTGGGAGAAGCATATTCAGAGAGCCGTGCAAAGGCCCTGTGGTTAGTTACTGAAGTCCATGAGCCTTCAGTGTGAGCGAGCTTACCCTACTTAGTCAAATTAGAGTTCTAAGGATATGAAAGTCCCACTGTGGCCTTTTGAACCTCATCAGGGCAGACCTAGTTCCATGACTAGGAACAGTTTGCCTGTGCTGAAACTATTTCATTTAAAAGTGCTTTTCAAAAACAAAACAGAAAATAAAATAAAATGAAATAATTTAAAAAAACCCAGGCACAGTGGTGCACACCTTTAATCCCAGCACTTGGGGGACTGAGGCAGGCGGATCTCTGTGAGTTCGAGGCCAGTTAGCTTGGTCTCCATAGTGAGTTCCAGGACAGCCAGAGTGATACAGTAAGACTTTGACTCTAAAAAAGAAAAAACAAAACAAAGTAATTAACAAACAAATAAATAAAAATGCTTCTCCATGTATGCTGTAGACGCCTTGTGCTGGCTTCACTAAAGACCAAACCAGGCAGTGGTAGCGAACGCCTTGAATTCTAACACTCGGAGGCAGAGGCAGGCGGATCTCTGTGAGTTTGAAGCCAGCCTGTTCTATAGAGCGAGTTCCAGGATGGCCAGGGCTACACAGAGAAGCCTTGTCTCGAGAAACAAGCAAACGAGGTGAATGAAGGCCAGGTAGGTCACTCAAGTGTGATGGCCCGGGTCACACACCAGAAACAGGTTTGTGAGTCCCAGCCCTGGCCTTCATTCTCTTCCCTCTTCAAAGCTGAGGTTCACCCTTCTGGCCTTATTGGCCTCGTTCTGTAAGACTGGAGCTGGTGGGATTCTCTGGACCCCATGGCACCTTTGATGCCATCATGAAAGCTTGCCTCAAGGGTGTAAGGATACGACGCTTAGGAGGCCTTGGCAGGTTTTGGACCAAGGTGCCCCGCAGCGGGTGAGACACGACATGGAAGGTGACACACGGCAGTGGGAACACAACCCGAAGAGGCAGGGTGTGAAGTCTGTCCTTGGCTTCAGATGGTAGGAACTTGACGATCCACAGAAGAAAATGTCCTGCCCAAGTTCCAGAATGGAGACAGAGCCTCTGGGCATGGCGGCACACACATGTAATCCCAACACTAAAAGGCAGGGGCAGGTGAGTCTCTGTTTTGGGCTATCCTGCTCTACAGAGGAAGTTCCAGAGCTTGTCTTATAAAAAAGAATGTGTGTGTGTGTGTGTGTGTGTGTGTGTGTGTGTGTGTGTGTGTGTACACATATAATTCACTTATCTGAGAAAGTGTAAATTGAGCGTGTCTTATGCCTATAATCCCAGCACTTTGGCTGCTGAAACAGGAGGATCACCGAGTTTGAGGACAGAGTAGGCTATGAAGTGAGTTTCGTTCAAAACTGGGCATGGTGTCTCACGCCTCTAATCTAGGCACTCAAGAAGTTGAGGAATGTCGGGCATGGTGGTGCATATCTTCAATCCCAGCACTCACTCAGGAGTCAGAGACAGGTAGCTCTCTGTGAGTTCGAGGTCATCTTGGTCTACATAGTGAGTTTTAGGACAGCCAAGGCTCACCTTGTCTCAAAAACAAAGAGTCTGAGGCAGAGGACTGAAAGCTCAATACCAGCCTGAGCTACAGAGTGAGCTTGGGGAACTCTGAGGAAGAGGAGGAGGAAGAATTATAGAAGTCAGGGGGATCAAGGACACCTGGAGAACACGGCCCACACAATCAACTGAGCAGGGCTCATAGGGGCTCACAGAGACTGAAGCAGCAACCACAGAGCCTGCAAGGGTTTCTGCTCTAGGTCCTCTGCAAATATGTTCTGGTTGATAGCATGGTGTTTTTGTGGGACTCCAACAGTGGGAGTGGGATGTCTCTGACTCTTTCACCTGCTCTTGGGCCCCTTTTCCTCCTACTGGGTTGCCTCGCCTGTTGTTTTTAAACTAAGTCTCTATCGTTCTATTTACCAATAAAGACTTGGGAGTCAGATGTTGAAGTGAATACCTGTAACTCAGAGAGGCCAAGCAGCAACCAGCTGACCTTCCTTTTTGGCTGGAGACTCACCAAGAGAACATCCTTCCAATTGTCCCAAACCAAAAAGACTGAGAGACTCCAAGTCCCTCCCTCCTCCTTCCTTTGCATCTCTGTATCTGTTTTCCTGGCTCCTCTGTACCCTCTATGGCTAATTCCTGTCATTTAGTTGTTGGCTCCAAGGTTGATTTCGTTAACATAGCCTCGGGGTTTCACAGTGTGATCAAATATCCCACAATACTCGCCCAACCCTGATATGAGGGTTTGTGCCTATTCTTACTGTACCTTCTTATGCCACATTTGGTTGCTCTCCCTGGGAGGCCTGCTCCTTTATCAAGGGAACCAGAGGAGGAGTGGATCTGGAGAGAAGGGAGGTGGGAAGTGACTGGGATGATGAAGGGAGGGGGAACTGCAGTCAGGAAGTATTATATGAGAGAAGAAAGAAAAAGGAGCTAGGTTGAAAAATGGTGCTTTGCCTTCTTTATTTTTTTTATTTTTATTTTTTAAAGATTTACGTATTTATTATATATACAGTGTTCTGTCTACATGCCAGAAGAGGGCACCAGATCGAATTATAGATGGTTGTGAGCCACCATGTGGTTGCTGGGAATTGAACTCAGGACCTCTGGAAGAACAGCCAGTGCTCTTAACCTCTGAGCTATTTCTCCAGTCCGCCTTCTTTATTTTTAAAATAATTTTTACGTGTGTATGTGTTTTGCTTGCACATATGTATCTGCACCATATGCATGCAGTGCCTGTGGAGGTCAGAAAAGGGAGTTTTATTCCTGGAACTGGAGTAACAGAAGACTGTGAGCTGCCGTGTGGGTGTGAGGAGTCAAATCTGGGTCCTCTGGAAGAGCACCCCATGTTCTTAATCGCTGAGCCATCTCTCCAGCATCTCTTCCACACAGCAAACATTGACTAAGACTGAACAGAAAGGTAGGAAAGAGTGAGCCGAGCGCCAGCATGCACCTCTCTCCCTGCTCATACAATGTGGCAGCCGCCTCTGGCTCCTGCTGCTCTGCTTTCCCTGGCACTGTGGACCAGACCCTCCAAACATGAGGCAAATCAAACCCTGTCATCCTTAAACTACGTGTGGTGGCTTGAATTACATGCACTCCCCGCCCCCATCTTGGGCCTTTGGCTAATTTGTTCCCAGTTGGTGCTGTTTGGGCGGGTTTAGGAGGGGTGGCCTTGCTGGAACTATGTCACTGAGGGTGGGCTTTAAGGTTTCAAAAGTACACATCATTCCTCTGTTTCCTGCTTGTGGTTCAGGATATGCGCCCTCGGCTCTCAGCTTCCCACTGCCATGTCTACCACCTGTTGCCATGCTGTCCCCTCCCTAACGCTATTTATAGACCCCAACCCTCTGAAACTAT